AGATATGTTTTTGTTGTGTGCTGCTGAGTCAGAACAGACTCATAGCTGACCCTCCAGCAGGTTTTCAGAGGCAATAAATACGTGGAAAAGGAAGTGTAGACTCTCTGCAAAGTATTGAGCTGGAATGAAACAATTTGAAGTCCTGCCTATACAACACAAGAGGCCTTGAGAGAAGAACAGAGAAATTCCAAGTCAGAAACCTCGGTCCCATCTCCACTCAAATATTTATTATATAATCTTGAAAAGAAGCACTGGTATAAACAATTAATAATTTTTTTTTAAATGTGTGTACCGTCATATCAGATCTGACTGGTACAGGAGGAGATTGTCCCTCCTTCTTCAGCAGAGCATCTGGTGGATTTGAACCTCACATGTCTGGGATTGCAGTGCAGCTTCTTGCCACTAGACCACCAGAGCTCGCCAATGAATAAATTTTTTTTAAAAATCAACCGAAAGGTTAGTGGTTGGAATCCACTCAGTCAAAAGACCTTGCAATCTGCTTCCATCAAGATTGTTGTTGTTAAAAAGAAAAGAAAAATATTGTTGTTGCTATGTGCCATTGAGTCTCCTGCAACTCCTTACAACCCTATGTACAACAGCTCTGAAGTCTGTCCTGTCATGAGCCAGTCTCACTGACTCTGACACACCTACCCTCATTGCCCCAGTTACTGTATCAATCCATCTCATCCCAGGTCTTCCTCTCCTGTGCTGTCACTCCACCCTTCCCAAACATGATGTCCTTCTCTAAGATGTGGTCCCTCTCGGTCATGTGCCCAAAGTATGTGAGACAGAACTTCAAAATCCTAGCCTCCAAGGAGAAATTTGGTTTCATCCTCTCCAAAACAGACCTATTTGTTTTCTTGGCAGTCCATGGTATGTTCAAGACTCTGGCACCACAATTCAAAGGCATCAATTCTTCTCCTGTCATCCTTAGTCACAGTCCAGCTCTCTGATGCATAGCAAGTAATTGCAAAGACTATGGCCTGGATCAGGCACACCTTAGTCCCTAGATTGACATCATTGACTGTTTCTCAGTACTCTGGAGAGGTCCCTAACAGATTTTCCCAGTTCAATTTGTCATTTGATTTCCTGACTGCTGGTGCCAAGAGTGTTGATTGTGGAGCCAAGCAGGCTCTAATTGTTAACAACATCAATCTCTTCTCCATCCATCATGGTGCTGCCAATTGGCCCAGAGACGAGAGAATCTTTGTCTTCTTGATGCTGAACTTCAATCCATATTGAAGACTACAGTCCTTGACCTTCTGTAGCAAGCGTTTCAGGTCCTCCTCAGTTTCAGCAAGATCGTGTCATCTGCATAATGCAGGTTGTTGATGAGTCTTCTTCTAATCGTGATGCCACATTCCTCCTCATAAAGCACAGCTTCTTAATTGCTCTGTGCTGCATATAGACTGAACAAATAAAACCCTATGGATTCAGCAACAATAGTAAAATTCAGTAAGACAGAAAATAGCAAATACTGGCAAGGAGTGAGAAATTGGAACTCTTATACACTGTGTTGGTGGGATTATGTAAAATAAGGCAAGCATTGTGGACAAGTTTGATGCTTCCTTTGAAAGTCAGGAATAATATTTGACCCAGCAACCCACTACTAGGTAAATCTCCTGAAGAAGAGCCAGAACAAGAACAGCTATATGCACATCCGCATTCATGGCAGCCTTATATACAAGAGTTGTTGTTATGTACCACTAAGTAGAGACCAACTCATAGCTGAACCTCCAGTGGGTTTTCAGAGATAGTAAATTGCATGGGGCAAGATTACCCATCTTTCTCCTATGGAATGGGTGGATTCAAACTGCCTGCCTTCAGGTTGGCAGTGCAGCTCTTTACCACTCAGCTACTTTGCTCCCGATTTATAAGAGTAGAGAGACAGAAACAACCCAAGTATTAAAAACATTACTACTAAGGGAGCTCTGGTGGCCTAGTGACAGGAAGCTGCACTGCAATCCCAAAGGCACACAGTTCAAATCCATCAGATGCTCTGCTGGAGAAGGAGGGACAATCTCCTCCTGTACCAGTTAGATCTAATTTGATGGTACACACAAAAATAATAATTTTTTTTAAAAAAAAATACATTACTACTGACATAGGGGTAACCTTCACTGACTCTTTAAAGGGAAAGAATCCCCATCAACAACATCGATAACACAAAACCATTTCCTATGGAGTCAGACATGTCTCTGTGTTCCTGCACCTTCTTATATCACTTCTAACATTGACTGTCCCTCTCAGGCTTCTTGCTGCTCTTCTGCTAGGTATGCTGTACCATTGCAACAGTCACACAGAACTCACAGCCCATATTCATGATTATGGGGTTAATTTGTTAACACGTTACAATCCAGGTAGGAAACAGTCAAAATACAATTCTTCAGTCAGGACAGCTAATTGCTCAAGGGTGCTCAGAGACACTGATCTTTTAGCCTCCTCAAATCTCTAGGACAGTGTTACAAAGTTTATTTCGTCTAGCCAATCAATGGCATCTCCTTCCAGGCCTCTCGCAAGCCTGAGCAAAGGCCCTCAGCTGTGGGTCCACCAGGCAGCAGTTGCAGTTCAGCTCTGTCTCAGTCCAGTCTCTGGTCCTCCATTAACTCCACCAGACTCAGTTCATCTTGGTCAGAAGCCTTTCCACAGGGATGTGTTACACTCTCCATGTAATTTTTTTCTCCACTTTGTTTGTTTGTTGTTGTGAGGTTTCGCTTGTCTGCCTCTCCATCTATCTGATCCATTTAATCCTGGTAGGATGGCAAAACTAACCAACACCCTCATTAATGGTCCACACATCCTATTTGCATGTTTCCACCATTAGCACAGTCTTAACCTGCTCATAGATGGGAGTTTTCTAAGTTCTAAAAGGACATTTTGAGGCTCTCAACAATCTAATAGCTCCTTTAAAATAATATTTTATTTATTGTGAATAATTTCAAGTATACATAAAAAGGAGGAGATATAATGCAGTAATTGTCCATCCTCTAAACCCTGCAATTTTATTATTATCACTATAATGCTAACTGTGCTAAAAATTCCTTATTTAAAAGTTCAGATATAGTTGTGAATTTTCTATGCTTTTCACTATATTGTTCTCCCTTCTCTGAAGATAAACACGGTCATGAATTGAATGTTTCTCTATACATTTATATATTTAAAATTGTATTGTTTTGAAATTTTCCATAAATAGCATCATTTTTTAACATCTTTCTGTGACCTTTGTCATAATTATTTTATATATTGTAAAGATTTATTCATGTTGCTAGACATAACTCTGGTTTATTCATTTTAGCAGCTATATAGTATTTTGCATATTATTAAATCTTTCCATGTTATTATAAAAAAAAATCTTTCCATGTTATTGATGATAATTTATATTATTTCTGCACCTGCAAACAATACTTTCAAGAACATTTATTTGATATTCTCCTGTTTATTTGATCATTTTAGGGTATAAACATACTATGAGAGGTTTGGAAGCAGGAATGGCATCCACTTCCTAAATAACATGCCTCTGCAAACTCGATGAACTTTGATAAATGTTGATAGTTGTAGAGGGGCTTCAGGCCTTTTGTTCACAGGGTCATTATGAGTCATGCTCAACTCGAAGGCAATCAACAACAACAACCACAACAACCTGCCATATGGTGAAAGTCAATGCCACAGTGAGGAAAGCCATTCTGAGTGATCAATCTACTGCGCCCCGCCAAGTGTCCATTGACAGATAGATGAATGGATAAATAGTGATGCATACACATGGTGGAAACTATGTAACATTAAAGAATAATGAGTAATTAGCAAAATATAACATGAATGAATCTGGAGGACGTTATACTGGGTGAAATAAATCAGAAACAGACAAATGCTACTCTAAAACGCTAGATTCACACCCAGGAAGAACCATTCTTTGATGATTATCAGGGATGATTGGGAAATGAGAGGGAAAAAATCATTAAATAGATAAAAGGCATAGATGTACAAAGGGAAAGGCACTGTACAATAGGAAATGATCAACACAATATCATTAAAGAAAAAGAAGACATGGAGAGATGTACAAGAGGTAACAGTCAGCAAAAGTAAACACTATTACATATATAATCCTGCAAAATTAGCAATAATAAAGGTTAATCTACAAGTAGATACATACGCAGACAGAAAAGTTAAATAGCTACTGACAGATGAAAGGGACTATACACATGACCAGATATGTTGTATTTTTAGGTGCCTTTGAGTCAACCACAACTTGCAGCGAACCGCTGAACAAGGGATCCCAACCTTGCTCTATCCTGTGCCGTCCTCACTGTCTCTGATATGCTGGAGCCTGTTGTTACAGTGTGTCACTATATCACTGTGTCAATCCATATTGTTGCGGGTCTTCTTCATTTCACTGACTCTTTCTGTTTCCCAGAATGATGTCTTTTTCCAAGGACTTGCCTCTTCTTGACAAGCTGCCCAGAGGATGCAAGAAAAGATTCATCGTCCTTGCATCTAAGCAGCACCCTGGTTGCACTTCCTCCAAGATAGACTTTATGGTTCTTTCGGCAGTCCACGGGTACTCTTCTCCACCACAGTTCAAAGGTAATGGTTTGGTGTTTGGGTTTGTTGTTCGATTTGGGGTTTTTTTAAATCTCTACATTCAGCAGTCTCTTCCTGTGCAATTAACTGCCTCTGAAAACCCGCCAGAGGGTCAACTATGGGTCAGATCCAACTCTATGGTACACAATACAACAACACAACTACATTCATATTAGTATGTGCTTTCAGTATCCATGTTTATAGCTGAATATTAGGGAGTAAAGTTATTTCAACTTCTTAATCATAACCAAACACCCTGAGGGGATGAGTTGCTGGTCCTAGGACCTCACGACTGTAGAAAAGAGGAACATCAAGATCAATTGGCATAATAACTGGTTCACAAAGATAATGCTCTACATTCTTAAGGGAACAGGGAATGGGGTCTTAAAAATTTGCATGCAGGCACCACTCTCGCTGCCAACATGCAGGTCCTGCTGCTCATCCTAGGCCTGTTGGTCAGCCCCATGACTGCCCTCATCAAAATTCCACTGCACAAGTTCACCTCCATCCAGTCAGAGCCTGTCTGAGGTGGACAGCTCTATGGAAAACCTGTTCACCAAAATACTCCCAGGGATGCCTGTGGTGGCTAGGGGCCTGCCTCTGTGGTGCTGAAGAACTAACTACATAAACTACTATCCAGTACTATGGGGAGATCTGCACTGGGACACCACTGCTGTGCTTTATGGTCGTCTTCTACATTGACTTTTCCAGCCTTTGGGTCCCCTGATCCATTGTAAATGCTGTACAGCACCTTCTGGATGCATCCCAAGTACAACAGCCCCAAGCCCAGCAGGTCTATAAGAATCAGCACCACCTTCAACATCCACTACTGCTAGATAGTCTTTCCAGGTACTGAAGCCAAGATAGCATGTCATGCCCTGCACTTTGGCTGTCCCTAGATGGCATGAGGGTGGAGCTGCAGATCTTCAGGGGAGCACCAAGCAGCTGAGAATCACCTTTATCCTAACCAAGTAAGACAGCATCCTGGGTGACTCCATCAACAAGGCGGTGCTCATCTTGAACAGCATCATAGAAGCTGGTGGAGAATGTGTCCTTCTTCTACCTGAACCAGAACTTGAAGGTTCAACCCGGGGCTTGAGCTGACTCCAACTAATACAAGAGTTCCATGAATTACATCCAATGTCACCTGTAAGGCCTACTGGCAGAGCCAATAGGACAGTGGACGTGGCCATAAGCTGACCCGGCAAAAGGGCAGCTGCAAGGCTGTCGTGGACACAGGTACCTCCCTGATGTTGAGCCCAGTGGATGAGATTGTCCAGCTGTAGAGGGTCCTGGATGCCAGGCTGCTGATGTAAGCAGAGTGCATGTCTCCCTGTGAGAACATGACCAGCCTGTCACTCACTTCCCTGAAGCTGATAGACAAGGACTATTACTCTTGACAGAGGACCAGAGGACCACATGCTTAGGGTGTCCAGGCCGGGAAGACCATATGTCTGAGCAACGTTATGGGGAAGGACACAGCCTGAAGGGCCTGGGCTCTGGATTCTGGGTGAGGTCTTTTTTGGCCACTACTCCATGGTGTTTGATCTGGACAGCAACAACATAGGCTTTGCCAAGACCTTCATATACCAAGGATGCTGAGAAGGAAGAGACACTCCGTCTGCCCTCCTGTCAATATGTCCAGATGTGCACCACTCTTGCCTGTCACTATCCAAGCTCAGGAATACTGTCTGTCTGCCTGTCCACCTCTCTGCCATGGGAGTTGAAGCACATGTCTCTTTACCTTGGGGAACCAGCTTGATCTTGGCAACCCCTCCCACAGTCCCTGCTGTCATCAGGGGTATGGCTGCCCAGGCAAGGCCCCAGGCTAAGCACCTAATTCTCCCAGAGACCTGTCCTTGCTTTTAGCTTAGAACCAGCCCTACCACCCCCATAGTCCCATTAGTCCAAGAAGAAGGGGCTGCTGAGGCCTAGAGATGAGTAGTATGGTCATGGGAGAGGGTTTTGGGGTTACTGGACCTTAATCATGGGGTGGACTAGGCAATCAGATGCTGCCCTCTCTCTGAAGCCATCTACCCACCAACACTCACAAGCGACTGAACCTGCTTAGACAAGGAAATGCAGATGCTTGGGCCTTTTAAAAACCAAAACAACTTGCAAGCAGTCATCAAAAGTGCACCACTGATGTGCAACAACGAATCAATAAATTTTTTTAAGTGCACCATTGGTCTCTCCCTGTCCACAACAAAGAAGAGGGAAGAAAAGCAAAGATGCATAGAAGCAATTAGTCAAGAGCTCTAATAGTCCATGTGAGCCTGGATCTCTATGACCCCGAGATGACAAGAACTCGATGGTGCCTGGCTCCTCTTGCTAGCCACTCTAAGAGGATTCACAGCAGAAGGTCCTGCAAAGAGTGGGCCAAAGATGTGACACAAAACTAAAAAACATAAAAATTTCCAGACTTACTGACCTAACGGAGACCAGTGGAACCCATAAGACTATGGAACAAAGCTGACTCTCATGGCTCAGTTTTCAACTAGACAAAAACTGGTCTATAGTGAACGAACAGTCACAGGGAGGCGCTCCTTCTGAAAAAAAACAACCACATAAGTTCAAAAGGGCAGCATTCACCCAGAAATAAAGCTCAGAAGTCAAGATAGAAGGATTAATGGAAGGGAGACTCACAAGGAGGAAGTGGTCAGAGTGCAGTAACTACCCAGTTGCTGTTATTGTTGTTATGTGCAGTCGAGTTGCTTGTGACTCATAGTGACCCTATGGACAACAGCCCTAAACTCTGTTCTGTCCTGTGCCAATCTCATTGTCTCTGACACACTCATCCCCATTACCCCAGTCACCGAATCAATCCATCTCCTAGAGGGCCTTCCCCTCCTGTGCCTGCCCTCCACCCTCCCAAGCATGATGTCCTTCTCCAAGGACCAGTCTCTCCTTACAACATGACCAAAGTATGTCAGACAAAGCCTCAGAATCCTTGCCTCCAAGGAGAAGCCTGTTTTAACCCTCTCTAGGATGAATCTGTTTGTTTTCTTAGCAGTCCATGGTACCCTCAATACTCTTCTCCAACACCAAAGCTCAAAGGCATCAATTCTCCTTCTATCCTCCCTAGTCATTGTCCAATTCTCTGACGCATAACATGTGATTGCAAAGACCATGGCCTGTTATCAGATACACTTTAGTCTCCAGAAAGACACCGTTGCTCTTCAGTACTTTAGAGTTACTCGGTAAGCATTGTAATTAATATTATAAAACAAGATGTATATGAATGGTTGGGTGAAAATCAATTTGCTTTGTAAACGTTAAATCAAAATTAAAAAAAAGGAAAACCATAAAACAAAACCCCCTCACAGTAGTTCTCTGTCTTATGGGCAGGACTCAAAGACACTCTACCATCCTGAAAATGTCCCACTATCAGAATCTCTTTCCTTATCTCTAAATGGGTGGGGTAATACCTCACCAAACCAAAGCCAAGCCTACTGCAATCGAGTCAATTCTAACTCTATCAGTCTTGTAGGTATAAGTTTGATGAGACCACACATGTGAACATGTTTAACTTATCTGATGTTGCAAACAGTAAATGAATAAGAACTGTGGAATCTTGTCCTCTAGCATACTTTTACCAAATAAACCAAAATGCATGGCAAAGCTTGATACCATTAGTGGCATATTTATGCTGCTAAGTCATCAGTCTTGGCTCACATTATCTTGAGAAGAGTCCCGGAGGCATTCCCCAAGTACCGAGAGGGGCAGGTGAGCCTCTTCTCTTCAAAACTCTCCTCACCTGCGCCCACTGACAGCACCTGCCCCTAAGACTCAAAGAATGACCTGTTAGATTTGTCCACTGGTGCCCTAGGAGGGGTTAAGAGACAAAAGTCTGTGTCTTCCGCTGGGACAGTCTGTGGACATACATACACACATACCCCCAAACCCACAGGCGGTGGACAAGACTCAGGAGACCAGAAGGAAGTGATTTTGGGGCAAACAGGGTGCAAGAATCTGGGCTTAAATCACTGGGCAGGAAGAGAGGAAAATGACAGGCAGAGGAAGGAGCTAGCGAGTGGGGATGGGGCGGAGAGTAGCTGGAGGAAATAGTCGTGGGGAAAGGAAAAGCCAGGGCAGGAGATGGGAGGAGAGAAGCCGAGGCCTGTATCGCTGGCAGGGAGCGGGCGGCGGCCTCCGGGGGCGGCGCTGTC